CGTCTGTTCCTCGGGGTTTGGTCCCTGGATGCACTTCTGACACTATATTGGTCTGCTGCACAAAATGCAGGACCTTGAACCCTAAAACCAAAACGGTCCCTCCGCCAACCGGCCAAGAGGAAGGGCAACGCTGCCCTCACAATCAGAGCAGAGGCTCCTAAGTAGGTGAGCCGAATCCCGCCGGGGGATTTATAGGAATGACATAACAGGGAACGGTAGGCGAGGCAGCGAATCAATCGGGCAGCTTCGCCCTTTCTCAAGCCAGGGATGCACTTCTATTTTTATTTCGCTGTCATCTTGCAACAGTGAGGCGTGGTTGGCATGACGGCTTCCTCCTTTTCTCTCTGCCCCCCGAAACAGGGGATGACTTCTTCACTTGAGCAGTGGTGGTTCAGTGGACCCCCCCCCCCCCCCCCCCCGGCTGGGGCAACCCAGATCCCCCCCCCCCCGCCTCCAAGGCAGGCAGCTTAAGACCCAGCTGAGCCAGGATTGGCTTCTCTGTTCCCGGAGCCTCTTCTGCCGCCGGCTGGCTCTCCAGGGGCCTGGAGGTGCTTTGATCCTCCAGGTTGAGGTGGCTGCCTTTGCGATCCTGCCTGCCCTTGGAATGGAAAGCGGCCCCAAGGTCCCAGTGGGTCCCCTGGGAGGCCTGGAGTGGGGCAGGAAGCTCCCCGCCAGCCCTGCAGGCTCCCTTCTAGGGCAGGAAAAGGAGCGGGAGGTGGGGGGGGGGAGCCCACGAGGATTTTTTAATGAATTCAATACTAAAGGAGTTCACTTGAAAATAGCTCTGGGGGGGACAGGGGGGGTCTTTGGCTTCTAGAGCTGCCCACCAGTTGAGGGTCTCCGTGGTGCCAGGTCCGGAGGAGGAGGAGGCGACGGCTGCTCCCTTCCCTTCTTCTCCAAGGAGAGCTGGGGGCCTGCAATGCCCACGGCCGCCAGGCTTGCTGTGGTCACTTGCATGAGGGCCCTCAGCTGGGCTATGGGCACCTTCAGGGTCACACACTTGAGCACCCTGCGCACAATCGTTCCTTGGCTGGTGAGGTTCTCGGAGTGCTGGGTCCAGGCGGCTTCGCCGGGTTGCCAGTGGTAAATGGCGTCGTGGGTTCTGGATGTGCAGACGCCGCCAATCACATAAACCCTCCCTTGAAAGGAAGTGGCACCGGCAAAGGCCAGGGGCATGGGCAGGGAAGGGACGGCCACCTCTCTGCTTATGATGCCATCTTCCTGCATGAAGAAGCATTTTGAGACGCAAGGAAGAAGCTGGCTGAACCTCCGGTTGGGGTACGGTTGGGTGACCTTCCTGGAAAAGAAGCCCCCGATGACACAGATCCCGGTCTCCATGGTGACAGCGGCCGCCCCGTGGAGGCTAAACTCGAGCGGCACCTGCGCCCAAGTATCCAGGTGGGTGTCGTAGATAAGGAGGCCCTTATAGACCACTTCGTCGGAGTCGGCGTCGCCGCCTATTAAGTAGAGCTTGTTTTTGTACGGCACGGAGGCGGAGAAGCGCAGGACGATGGGCAGGCTGGCGATGGAGGCCCACAGCTGCTGGGCCACATCAAAGCTCTCGGCCGAGGCCAGGGGGCCAGCATCGTTCCAGCCACTCAAGGCGAAAAGCTTCTGCTTGCAGGTCAAGAACATGTGGACGGAGCGGGGCGTTGACATGGCGGGGAGCTGGGTCCAGCGGTTGGCCAGAGAGTTGTACTCATGCAGCGCACAGGAATAGGAACCATCGGCGTGTTTCCCTCCGGAGATGTAGAGCCTGTGCTCCAGCACGGAGCAGCCGGGGAGAGCCACCAGTTCCAAGGCTGGCAGCTTCATCCTGGATCCGGTGGCCGGATTCAGGCACTCCATGTAGGAGTCCATGTCTTCGCTGACCGAGAGGATGTCCCTCAAACGGGGCACTTTGATGCAGACAATCGTCTCCTGGTACATGCCCCGGCGGAGCCCCCCGCTCGCCTGCAGCCTCCCTGCTCCATCCAGGTCCTGCCACCGGACCTCCAGCGGCTGACCCAGCAGCTCAGTCTCCGCCTGCACCTGGGCAACTTCCTCCTGGGACAGGAGCGGGAAACGGACACACCCGAGCAGCATCTTCAGCAGCGGGAGGCGCTCGCTGGGCTCGGCCCTCACCCACCGCTGCACAGCCTGGAACACCTCCATCTCTGAGGCCACCGCCAGGTGGTCCGAGGAGAGGAGGCAGGTCAGGGCCCTCAGGTCGAGCTGCAGGAAGTCCTGGTGTTCAAAGAGGAGGCCAAAGTGGAGGCCCAGGTAGCGCAGCGCCCCCTGCAGCAAGGCGGGGTGGTTGTGATCATGGCCCAGCGTGTAAAGGCGAAGGCAGTTCTCCGGGGAAATCCTCTCCGTCAGGAATCTGTTGGGGCGGAGGGGGAGAAAGATCCCTGGAGAGGTTGGCAGGAGAACCCCAACCCTCCCTGAAAACAGAAGCCGGGGGAGAAGTCCAGGAGGGTCTGGGCTACCTGCTGATGAGCGTCAGCGCTGGGCTGAGCTGGAGCCGGCTGGCCGCAATGAAGAGGTCCTCAGCGCCGGCGGGACTGAAAGCCAGCTCCCCCGAGTAGAGGTAGCCCAGGAGATTCTGGAGGACCGCGGGGTCCATGTCCTCCAGAAGGACCTCCCCATCCCGGGACTCCTTGAAGCCGCTCGAGAAGACGGCCTGGAAGTAGGGGCTGATGGCGGCCAGGAGGGCCCTGCATGGGGTGACAGAGACGGCGCGGTTAGCCGTGGGCACCCTGCCCCAAGCCCTGCCCAGCCCCTGGGGGGGTGCCAAGACCCACCTGTTGCAAGGGAACCTCTTCCCTCCCGCAATCAAGGTGGCATCGCAGAGCTCCGGCCGGTGATGCACATGCTTCAGACCTGCGGAGGGGAAGAGGAGGGGCGAGAGAGGATCTTCCTTCTTCCGTGGCGGAGGAGAGAGGAGCTTGGCACAAAACCGGTGCCCCCCCTCCTGTGGCTGCTCCACCCCCCCAGAGCCGGGATCGGCAACCCAAGACCCACCTTGGCTGAAACAAGCTTTGAGCGACACGGCCGCCTCTGGCCGCTCATCGTTGGCCCCGTCGTCGTCTTCCGAGGGCTCCATTGGGTGCAAGTGCTGGAGCACGTTGGTTTCGGTTGCCCCAGAGGGTCCTCCCAACCCACCTCCTCCTGCCGCCTCAAGGTCTCCTGAGAGGTCCCTGCAGAAAAGGTGGTGGGGTCTCCAGGGCAGCCCCCACCTCACAATGGGGGCCAAAACACCCTGAACCTCACCCTCAACCCCTGGACCCAATGCAGGTTGGCCTCCTGGTATCCAGAGCAGGTCGGCATCCTGATGGCGCCCAGGAGGGTCGAGGCTCCCCCTGGCTTCCTCTTACGCCCGTTCGGGAAACTGGACACTTCCCTCCACCAACAGAGGTTCTGGACTCCCCAGATGGGCCTTCAACTTCGTCCTCTGGGAAGGGGCTGTTTTGTGGCAGCCCCTATGATGCCCCCCCCCCCAAGGCTGAGTGTTTTTTCTTCCACTCTAGGGACGCGAAGGGCAGAGCTGGCTAGAGCTTACAATTCTTTCTGCAATTCCTTGCACAACTGTGTGTGTGTGTGGGTGGGGGGGCAATTTGGTCAGTTAGAAAAGAAAGACTCTCAGACCAGTTGTTAACAAACGTTCACTTTACTAAAGCCAAGTGGTTACACAGAAGCAAAGCCGGATCTGAAGTTTTGCGCCCAAAGCTTCTGGTTAACTTTTCCCTTCTCCCCACCGTTGCCCCGGTTACCTTATACTGCCCGGTTACATCCAAACATGGGCTTGGCAGGCTGCATGGTCTCACATCCCCTTCCAGGATCTTGGAACGGCCAGCGGCTCCCACAGGTGGGCACAAAGAGCAGTTTCGATTCCCCTCCCCCTCCCTTGCTTACGGCAGACTGGCATCTGGCGAAGCATGGCTGGCATAGCGGGGGAGGGGGGGACGGTCCTGACAGGGTGCCGCATATGCGTGCCTGCGGGGATCGACCGGAGCTTTCAAAGCCTTTTAAGGACGTCAGCCCTTTTCTCAACGTTATTTGTTAAATAGTGCATAGACCGTTCATGGTTGCAGTGAAGACCAGCGCACCAGCTGAACCCTCAAAAATCAAAATACAGTTAAAAAAATGCACCACCTGCGGATAAGCCGACCCTTAAAATATTCGTATTTAATTTTCACAACTGGCTTATCCATAGGTGATTATCCATTTTTCATGCTATTTTGATCAAAAATCCAAGGGTCAGCTTATCCACAAGTATATGTAGGATACACAAGTATTTTAAAAAGTATGGCCGTATAGACTCATGGACAAAGCAAAGCAATTTGGGAGGTGTATTCAGGCACTTAAAATTCTCCACTTATTCACAAGTATACACGTACCATTTTTCAGAATAAAAGTTTTCTCAAGAATATATTTAATCCTGGACAGGGTAAGGGGGCACAATTTCCCCCTGCTTGAAGCAAAAACAAAACATTAATATCTTTTGCTCTGATAAGTATGGACAGCCACCACTGGGAGGAAGTAGAACAGGGGTGTCCAACCTTGGCAACTTTTAAGCCTTGAGCATTTCAACTCCCAGAATTCCACAGCCAGCTGTGCAATTCTAGGAGTTGAAGTCCACAAGTCTTAAAGTTCCCAGGGTTACTCCTTACTCCTGAAGTAAACTGATGCTGCTCCCAAGCAACGTTGCCAAGTATGCAAGACAGAAAAGGGAAACCCCCTACCCAGAGGGCATAAGGGGCCCGGAAGTGGAACTCTGATCCTGCAGCCACCCTTGCCGGTCAGGTTCACCCCTGGCTTTCAAAGCAGCAAGTTACGTCCTTCCTCCTCCTTGAAGCTCCTAAACTCTACTGCGTGCCTGACAGAATGACTGACAACTTTCCAAGAATGGTATAAAGGCAGTCCTCCACTTACGACTACAATTCAGCCAAAAATTTATGCTGCTAAGGGAGAAAGGTGTTAAGTGGGCTTTGCCGCATTTCACAACTTTTCTTGCCATGTTTATTAAGGGAATCACGCTCCCCTTTTAAATGAGTAACACCGCTGTTCAGTGAACCTGTCTTTCCTCTTCACTCTGTTGGGCAGAAGGTCACAAAAGGTGATCACAAAAGGTGAGGCAGAACTGGGCTGGGGTATCAGGAGGAAGGGAGCCCAGGCTCCAGGGATTCTGCAGACTCTGAGGAAAACTGGATTACGACGGAAGAGTTGGTCACCCGGGCACCGTAGTGTCCTGCCCAGAACTGTGTGTCCTTCCCCCTCTGCCTAAAAAGTACGTAGCGAACTCCGGGGCCATATCTTCTGAATGTGTGGGTCACCTGGAGAGAGAAAGCAACAGAAGCTCAGCCAGGAAAAGCGCTTTAGGGGACAGAAGCTTCTTTATTTAGGATTGATTGCTGTTATTTAGAAAATTTAATTAGAATTGGCACAGTGGCTAGAATGGAGTACTGCAGGCAAACTGCCCACTGCCAGAGGTTCGATCCTGACAGGGTGCACGGTTGACTCAGCCTCCCATTCTTCAGAGGTTGGTGAAACGAGGACCCAGATTGTTGGGGGCAAAATGTTGAAAGCGTTTAGAGAGGGCTATAAAGGGCTATAAGGTTATTGCCATTGTTTAGAAAAGTGTATTTAACACGACCTCACCCAGCCACTGCAGGGGGGGGGGGGGGGGGACAGCCGGTTCGGTGAGTGTGTGCAGGCACCCTATTTACCAATTACCAGCTCCAGCACGCACTCACCTTCTCCTGCTGACGAGCAACACTCAGCTGTGCTGCGCAAAGCAGCCGGGGAGGAAAAGTCAGGGAATAAAGGACAGCCTAGAGCACGGGCGGGCAGGTGGGCCAAACAGAAGACCAGAAGATCGTTGCAGCGGACCGGTTTGGAGTCAGCTGCTCCTCAGACCTACCGGTTCTATAGAACCAGGCCGAACCGGTGGAATCCCACCCCTGAACTACTTGCCCTTTGGGGTGCTGCCTTTCTGAAAACGGGGGTTGCCTGTGACCTTGTGGCCAGATCTTCTTAAAGCACTACTGGCCCCCATCCCAAAACATGAGAGTTTCTGATTCTGCACAGCTTTCAGGTAGAGTTTAGTCCTCTACATGACAACTGAGCCCGAAGTTTTTGTTTCCAAGGGAGGCAGTTCTTAAGTGAGTCATGCAGTCATTAAGCAGATGTGTGTTTCCCCACTGACTTTGCTTGTTACCTTGTAACCCTGGAACAGGGCAACTGTCAAAACTGCACCCTAGTTACCAGATGCCTGAATCTGGATTACATGACCGTGAGGATGCTGCAACTGTCATAAGTGTGAAAAACGACCATACGTCATTTTCAGTGTCACTGTAACTTCCATTATTATACAAATGGTTGTATGTCAAGGACTACCGGTAGTGTAATGCCTACATACATTTCTATTGTTTTAATGTTGCTAGTTCTTTCTTTTTAAACAAACAACACCCTATTTGCACAACCCCTAGATACAAAATCTGTGTTCCTCTTTTCTGGTTATTTTATTATTAAGGCACTTTAATTCTCAGAATTTAGTGAAATGTGTGTAGGAGGGAGAGAAAGAGAAAGAGAAAAAGGGAAAGAGAAACAGAAACAGAGAAAAAGTAGGCCATCACCCCAAGGGCAGTGAAATCCAGCAACCAAGCAAGTTGGGGCTGGTGGAGCAAGCAGCACCTTTTGGTAGGAGGCATCATTCCACTGAGGGATGGGATCTGGTTTCGCTTCAAAAACATCAATCTTCGTTTTTTTATTAGCTGCCAAGAGGGCAACAAAGAGCTCGTATTTGCAGCCACAGTCCTGACGGCCACCCCACCTGCAAGGGTCAAAAGGCAGAGCTTAAGTCACAAGAGGAAGCCGAAAAGGAGAACTGAAACCCTCCTGTGGGTGTTCAGTGTCCAGAAAAATGGCTGGCCTGTCCAGGCTGTGGACAGTCCCTCTGACATCCTGATGGTCTTCCTTGCTCTGAAATGGACAAGGCAATTTAGCCCTTTGCTTTCTACCTCTGGGTAGCCCAGGAGGGGGGAGGGGGCCACACTCACCAGTCAGAGACCACAATATCAGGCTGGTAAGCGTCCAGCAGATCCGGCCACAAGCCCTCCTTCAGCAGATCGATCACCTGCTCCTTCTGACACCACCTTGGAAGAAACAGGCCGAGGTGAAGAAAGGGCCACGTGGACCTGGAGTTCACTCCACAAGGCAAAGCCCCCCAATACAGGCAGTCCTCAGCTTATAGCAGTTCGTTTGGTGGCCATTGCAGCGTCCCTGTGGTCACATGGCCAGAATTAAGACACTTGGCAACTTGAGTCCTAGTTATGACGCTTGCCTGTCCTGGGGTCAACGCGATCCCCTTCTCTGACCTGAGAAGCAAAATTAACAGGGAGGCCAGATTTACCCCAGTAATTCATTTAACGACTGTGGCAAAGGTCATACAATGGGGCAAAAACCCCTCCACTGTCTGGCTTAGCAACATAAATTTTGGGCTCAATTGTGGCCGTAAGTCGAGGACTCCCTGTCGCAGAGGACCATGTTCCTACCAACGGGGAAACCCCCCAAGGCCTCTTCCCAGGCCGCCCAGGGAAAGGGAAAGGCGGGACTCACTCACTCATAGGAGGCGGCAAAGCAGGTCTGGGCCTCGGCGCCTTCCACGGGGCTCCGGTTCTCTTCCACCTTCCAGCCGTCCTTCCATCCCTCGCAGTGCAGAGCCCAATGGCGGAACTCCTCTGCAGGCAGAGAGCCAGGCTCTTAGCGCCGCTCGCTTCCCACCCGGCTACAGCGACGTTAGGAGCGGGGCTTCCTCGGCCTTTCAGCTACGCGCCCTGCCCGAGCACGAGGCGGGGAGACCCCAAAGGGAGGGACCCTGCCGGGCACCGGCCACCCCGAAGCGAAGCGGGCGGCGCCTTCTCCTCCCTCCTCCTCCCCGGAGCGCGGGGGCGGCCGGGCTGCCTACCTCTCCCGCAGGGGTTCCGGACGAGGTTCCTGCCCAGCGGGCGCAGGACGCCCAGGCGGCTCCAGCGCAGGCGGGGACAGCGGGCGGCGGCCTCGAGAGCGGCGCGCATCCCGGGCTCCCTCCGCCACTGCAGCTTCCACACGGCGGGCCCGTCCAGCAGGTCCCGCCAGCGGCGGCAGACCAGCCGGCAGCGCGTGGCCAGCGTCTCGGGCGGCAGCCAGCTCAGGACCAGCGCCAGCACTTCGTTGGGCAGCCGCGGCCAGTCCGGCGGGGGCGCCCCGGGGAGGCTTCCATCGGCACCGGCCGCCTCCTCGGCCTTGGCCGTCGCGGCGCCCATCGCCGTCCTGGGTGCAGCTCCGGGTGGGGCGCCGGCGCGGCTAGAGACCCTCCTTCCCCTCGTGCCCTGTCGGGGCACTGCCGGACGCGCAATCGCAATGGCGTCTTCTCTTTGCTCCGTCCGCGGCGCCTTCATTGGTTGGCGGACTCTCCGGCTTTGCGATTGGACAGCTTCTGGCCAATGGCCTGGCTGATGTATTCCGGCCTCTCCTTTGATGACGGGCGGGGCTTTTTTTCGGATACCGCCGGGTCCCTGTGCCCGCCTCTCCCAGGATTCCGCTGCTGCGGGATGTCCGCGTTCTGCGACCGCTGCGCTGCGCTTAGTGACCTCATTCGCGAGAAAGCCCCGCTTCCCTTTTGCAATATTTTGCAGGGGCGACCCCGGTGGTCCCCGGAGGAAGCCAGCCCTCCCCGCCCCCCGAGTAACTGACGTCCTCCCCGGACGGGGATGCGGCTGCTGGACGAGGATACCGAGCCCGGGACGGCCCGCTCCTCTCCCGGAGACGCTCCGGCTTCTGCCTCCCGCTTTTCTGGACTCAGTTTCTCAAACTTGGCAACTTCCCGCTGGATGGACTTCAACTCCCAGAATCCCCCAGTGGCTTTTTCCACTCGCCTCCCCGCCCCCGCCCGGCAGCTGCTGTTCGGCCGCCCGCTTTGCAGCCTCGCGGCCGACTCGGGCTTCGCAGGAAAGGACGGGCGCGGCTCCCGGAAAGGGCCGGCGAGGCTGGGCTGCTCTGAGCCCCTCCGCGTCCCCCCCCCCCCGGCTTCTGGGCGCTTCCAGTCCGGCCAGGCTGGGCGGCGTGACTGGCCGCGGGGGCTCGTTCGCGTCCCGAATCCCGGGCTGGGCGCTGGACGAGGAGGGAGAGCCCCGCCCCGAGCGCCGCTGGGGGCCCTGCGAACCGGCCCTTCCCGGAAACCGGAGGCGGCGGCGGCCGGATTGCAACATCGCGCCTTGTGACTTGCAGGGCGGCCGGGCCTGGCGTGACTCGGGCTGCGCGTCCCCACTGGCGCTGCGGGGCTTCGGCGGCGGGCGAGGAGCAGCGGGCGGGAGCATGTGCCGAGGGGCGAGGCTGGTGGGCTTCCTCTGCCTGTGGCTGCCCCAATTGCGCTGCCAGGGCCCCCCGGCCGTCCAGCCGGAGCAGGTGCACCTGTCCTACCCAGGTGAGCCTTGGGGGAAGGGCCCTCCCTGCCTCCCTCCCTTCGCCAGCTCTGCCCCTGCAGGGGTGGAAGGGCAGGTGGGGGAGGGGCTGCCAGCCTGGATGCCCAGCAGGCATCGACTTGTTTGGAGGGGTCTTTGCCACTCGGCGACCCACTTCCTGTTTGGGAAAGGAAGAGCTTTGCTTTGCGTGTGTCTCCACCGCATTTGCCGGCCTTTCCTCCTCTGCCAGTTTCTGTAGGGAGGGGGCGATTCCCCCCCCACCCCCCATGAATGATCCTTTCTCTTGGTGCTATTGCTGCAGGAGACCCCACCTCCATGGTGGTCACCTGGACGACCTTTGACCCAGCCGAATCCCTTGTAGTCTTTGGCCAGGCTCCAGGGAAGGCCCTTCCCCACAAGGCCAGCGGAAATGCCACACGCTTCGTGGACGGTGGCAGCCTGGGCCGGGCCATGTTCATCCACCGAGTGACCCTCCGCGGCCTCCTTCCGGGACAGAGTTACGGTGAGGGCTGGGGGCATCTAGTTCTTGGCAGGCCACTGCAAAAACCACACCCTCGTGGCTGCGTGGAACATACACACGGCCCCGAAGAGAAGCCACAGAGACCTCAGGGGACAGAGGAAGTCCTGGTCTTACACGGGTTCATTTAGTGACCCTTCCAAGTGACAAGGGCACTGAAAAAAGGGACTTATGACCGTTTTCACACTTATGACTGTTGCAGCATCCTGTGGTCGTGTGACCAAAATTCAGGCTTGGCAACTAACTCACATTTATGACGGTTGCTGTATCTGGGGCCGGGGGGGGGCGCATGCGATCATTTTTTGCAACTCCCTCTGCTTCTCTCTCCTTGCAGTCTATCGCTGTGGGAGCGCCTGGGGCTGGAGCCAACCCTACGGCTTCCGGGCGTTGCGGAAGGGCAGCAGCTGGAGTCCCCGGTTCGCCCTGTTTGGAGACCTGGGCCTGGAGAACCCCCAGTCCTTGTCCCGGCTGCAGTGGGAGACTCGGCAGGGCTGGTACGACATGGTGCTTCACATAGGTAGGCTGAGCAGCTCTCCAGCTCTTCCCCAGCACCCTTCCTCTGACCCCCCCCACCCCCCCACCCTCTGATGGTGACCCTCTTCTCCCCCCAGGAGATTTTGCCTACGACCTGGACTCGGTAAGACCCCCCAGAGCATCTCTGGGCTGGAAAGGAAGACGCAAGGCTTGAAAACTCGGTCCTAAGGCTGGACCCCATGAGGCTGTTCCAAGAGGGCCGCGTGGGCCTGCCTGTGCTGGGCGGGGGCGGGAGAACTTGGCTCCCGGGCGTTGGCCCGATTCCAGCCTCTGCCTGTTCTGCCCCTGCAGGATAACGCCCTCGTTGGAGATGCCTTCATGCGGAAAGTCGAGGCAGTGGCGGCCTTTGTGCCATATATGACTTGCCCGGGAAACCACGAGGAGAAGTAGTGAGTGGGGCTGAGCCAGATTTAAGAGACGCCGGGCTCTGCCAGTCTGTCCGCAGGCTGGTTCTGGTGACCCAGCTGTAACTCCCAGCTGTGGCACTCTCTCTCCGGGTGGGTGGGGGAACACAGCCTTGGCATCCAGGTTTTTCTGGGTGGCCTAACTAAGGGAAAGGGCACCCCCTTTGTGTCCGCCCACCTTCAGCCTTCTCCTTCCTTCCCTCCCTCCTGCAGCAACTTCTCCAACTACCGGTCCCGCTTCACCATGCCCGGAGACACCGAGAGCCTCTGGTACAGGTGCGTCCCAGGGCTGCAAGGGGCACAAGGCCAAGACAGCCGAGGCCCCTCCCAGCCTTTGCAGTTGCTTTCGTGGGTGGTGGGGGGGAGGGGGTCTGGAGGAGCTCCTGCCTTGTATGGCTGTAGTGTAAAGATCCGTCACAAAAGACAGGTTGCTTTATTGTTAAAAGCCTTTGCGCAGGAATCTTCTCAACTAATGGTCAGCACCTGCTTGGAGTTGGATACGGGTGCACGGAATTCAAGGGAGGTTGGACTTAGTTTGCTTGTGGCTCCACAGGGATTCTAGGCTGGTGCCTCTTTCAACTCTGCCCTTAAGTTTTGCTGTTCCTTGTCCCACCCACAACTGCCTTGTGAGGCAGGCTGAGACACAATACCTGGGGCCCAAAGCCCCCCAGGGAGGGTCTCCAGCTGACGATTCTGGCTCCCCTTTCCTCAGTCCACCCCCTCCCCTGCTCCACCAGATTCACTCTCCGGTTCTTGGGGCAGATCTGAGGGGGACCTCCCTCTTCTGGGGAGGGGGCTCCTTTTGTCCTCCTGCTCTTAGTGGCTGCCTGTCCTGCTTCCTTCCCAGCTGGGACGTAGGCCCTGCTCACCTCATTGCCTTCTCCACGGAGGTGTATTTCTTCTTAGACTACGGGGAGCAGCTGGTCGCCAAGCAGTTCCAGTGGCTGGAGAGGGACCTCCAGGTAGGCTGGGTCCAGATTTGGGTGGGCGGGGCCAGTTTGTGCCAGGCAAACATGAGCCTCTGGCTCTCTTCCTCTTGGGGACAGGAGGCGAACCAGCCTGCGCGGCGTGAGGAGCGCCCCTGGATCATCACCATGGGGCATCGGCCCATGTATTGCTCCAACAACGACAAGGATGACTGCACCCTGTTCGAGAGCATCGTAAGGAGCCCCTGGAGAAGGCAGTTGGAGCCCCTGGCTTCACTGGGAAAATAGGGAGTGGCCGGAACGTTTATTTTATTGAACCTATTTATATGGCTGCCCAACTCACATCTGGGTGCCTTCAGGCAGCTTACAAACTTTGGCGAGTCAGTCTGTGGTGGCCAAGCCTCACCTGGGCGTTGACCCCCTTTCAGGCAGAGGTTTGCAGCCAGCAGGATGAGGTGGAAGTGTGGTGACACTTAGTTATAAAATAAAAATAAATATAATAAGATAAGGTGAATGATAAGGTAGAATAGAAACTCATTGAGGAAAGATCCAGTCTAGAGCTAAGAAGGAGCAGCTGGCCTTCAGGGGTTGGGGGTGGTGGGAGGGCGGGGGCTTTTCAGAAGAGTTTGGACAGCCGTTTGCCTGAGACGGTTGTAGGTTCAGGGTGTCCAACTGGGGAACTTTAAGGCTTCTGGACTTCAACTCTATAGCTGGCCTGGGAATTCTGGGAGTTGAAGTCCACAAATCTTAAGGTTCCAAGGTTGATCTAGGGCCTCCTGCTTGAGCAGGGGGTTGGACTAGAAGACCTCTGGAAGGTCCCTTCCAACTCAGTTATTCTGAAGTTGCTTGTTTCAGTGAGAGCTGAAATTTGGAAGGGGTCTGAATCCCATGCCTGGCACAGCCATGAAGGGGGTGCAGATTTAGGCAGCCTTGAGCAGGATTGGCAGGAGGAGGAGGAGGAGGAGGAGGAGGAGGCGGCACTCAGAGTGGTTTGTGGGCCTTTCCAGGTGCGCAAAGGACTGAAGCCGAACCGTTACGGCCTGGAGGATCTTTTCTTCAAACACGGTAAGGAGGCTCCCAGGCAGCCCCTGCACTCTCCTGCTGAATGCCCAGGGAAGGCCTCCCAGAGAACGCACACGCAGGCAGTCCTTGACTTACAACGGTTGTGTCTGTTGGGCTCCGTTGTGGTCCTGAGTCAAGGACTACGGGTAACGTGTGTAAAAAGGGGGGGAAGCTTTGTGCCGTTGCAACTTCCGTCTTGACAATGAGAGCCCCGTCCTTCCGTGCACAATTCGCTGAGGACGGACGGCTTCAGTGGCCCCTCCGCAGGCAGTGGGATCTGCCTTGGCTGCCCAGCATTGAGAGGAAACCGGCAGGAAGAGGGGCTGCACCCCAAGGCAACTCGCCCCGCCCACTTGGGCCCCACTTCCTTCCCTCACCTTCTCTTCCTCCAGGGGTGGATCTGATGCTGTGGGCTCATGAGCATTCCTATGAACGGCTGTGGCCTGTCTACGACTACAAGGTGAGCCCAGCTCTGGGGTCTGGGGGGGAGGTCAGAACGGGCTGCCTTCCCCCTTCCTAGGGTCAGGCGAGGGGGCTCCCGTGATTTTAAAACCCGCAGCGCCCGTCTCTCTGCCTGCCCCTTTTGCGGGGATGGAGAGTTGCAAAGTGGCACGACTGACCACGCGGCCTCCGTCTGCAGGTTGCCCAAAGCAGAGAAGCGGCCCCAGCGTCTCTGGGCAGAGCAGAGGGGCAGGCTGACCTCCGGCATCCGTTTTTTCTTCTCGCCCCTCTTTCAGGTTTACAATGGGAGCACCGCAGCCCCTTATGCCAATCCCAGCGCCCCCGTCCACATTATCACTGGATCAGCTGTAAGTTTGCAGATAGGCAGCGTTCAGTGAGAACTAACGATGGCCCGTCTCTGAGCATATGCAGAATTCTTTTCCTAGGAAGCTGCCTATTGTGGTCATAAGTCAAGGACTGCATGTACCTGGAAGTACAGGGTGGAGAGAGCGCAGGGTGGGGAGGGGGGGGCAGACTTAAGGCTCAGCACTCTTGGCCACTGGTCCTTCAGTGGCTGAGCCACAGGCCCTTTGACCTCCCCCTCCCCAGGGTTGCAAGGAGCGGATGGACCCCTTCATCCCAGACCCGCGAGAGTGGAGTGCTGTGCGGATTGAGGATTATGGGTATGCCTGTATGCAGATCGTCAACAAGACCCACCTCTGGTTGGAGCAGGTCTCGGATGACCAGGTAGGGGATTGCTCTGCAAACAGCAGCCCTGGGTCTCGGATTCTCCCCATGGCTCCGCCGGGCTTCGGCTGCCATCCATGTCGGGAACAGCTCGGCCCCTGGGTGCTGGGAGGTGAATTTCCCCAGCTTGGTATCTATCTGGCTCCACCCAAGCTGGTCCTGAGCTCCAGCCCCAAGCCTCATGGGGGGAGGTGCTTCAAGCACTGCTCCTCATCCCTTCCTTCCTCCATGCTAGCCAGACTTGGCCTGTGGTCAGACCCCACCTGTTTTCCCAGGTTTGACCCTTTGCTTTTGGTTTTCAGAACGGGAAGGTCGTGGATAGGATTTGGCTGATCCAAGAGCAGCACGGCCCCAGGGCCTGGCACTGACTGGCCCTCCAGGCTGGAAGGTCTGAGAAGGCACCTCCAGCCCCCCTCTGGTCCGGACAGCTGGCCAGGGTTTCACCTTCTGAGGTCCAGCAGCTTCAATTGCACTGGGATCTCTGGTCCGAACATGAGGCGGTTTCCATGACCCCAGACGTGACCCCAGCTGCAGAGGGGGTCCAAGAGTCAAGATGGAGCCCTTGATCTATGGAGAAAAAGGAGGAGGAGCTTCAGTGAAAGGGCTGCCCCGTACTTGCCTGCCTGCCCAGCCTGAAGTTAGGGTTAGCTTGAGAGAGAAAGAAGGTTTTCGCCTCCTTAGTGCAAACTGTCCCTACTTAACACTGAGAGGAATGGACTTTCTGCCCGCAGGGCTGACATCTTCTGCTGCAAAGCATACAAATCTCTCTCGTTCTTTTCATCCACTTCTTGCTGTCTTTTCCTCTCAGACAGCTGTTTTAACATCGTCAGAATTGAGGACTTGATTCTGCTCTGTGATGTGTAATGAGGAGCTAAAAGGGTCTTGTTTGCAGAACTGAGTTTGGGTGCACTGACTCGCTATGAGTTTTTCGGAAGGACTTTAAAAGGTAAATACACTGCTCCCCAGAGGCTTTTGGGGTATGACTCCCATCATTATCGGACAGCTGACGGCAAATTATGGGTTGTAGCCCAAAACTCTGGAGGATGGCAGACCGGCCAAGGGTAAGAAGACTTATGGGTACCCCAAAAAATCATGGGATGTTGATCTTCACTGTAGTGTTAAAGACAAGCAGCACAGCGTGATTTTTAAGCAAATAATTATTTGAAATAAAAGTCAGAAATAAAGGGAGACAAGAAAACAAGCATTTATTTTTAAACCAGACTTCTTAGACGGTTATTTTTATAAATATCTGCCCGGATTAACGTAGGATGAAATTTGCAATTTAGAAAATGATGCTTCTTAATGGAAATGGGTTATTGGGGGAAGGAGCAGGGCAGGCTCACGCAGGGAACAACCTCAGTGAAATACACAAAGGGGCATTTCTTGCGAAACCTTGCAAACGTTCTTGGCTTGCAGTGAGGGGGAAGAAGGGCAGAATTACGTGGGGAGGGAACTGGGAAAACTTTTCCCCTGCGGGAGAAGGGGGGCTGCTCCCTGCATGGCCTGTTCCGAGGGTTCTTCCAAAGGGTGCAAGCAGGGAGGAATCCTGAAGCTAGAGGTGGTGGTAATTTTCTACTTGGTGATCGGATGGGAGACCACGTGGAGATCCGGAGGCCGGGAAGAGCGGGAAGGAGCCAGGCTAAACTTTCTCCATTGCTGCCCAGCAGACTGGGTGAGCTGGGCATGAAATCCTGCTTTACTTCCAGGAATTGCCAGGTGAGGCTCCTTTGTTCTTTGTACCCACGATGTTCTGCGGGTTCGGGCTGCACAGAGGGTGAGGAGCAGCAGCTCAAGGACGGCTTGGCTCAGCAACGGCTGCCGGCCAAGTGATTGAGCCTCCCCTCAGGGGTCTCCACAAGACCTCCCTGGGCAGAGGGAAGACCCTCCTAGCCTACAGCTCTGGGCTCTCTACATTTGGCCACTTTAAGACTTGCGGACTTCAACTCCCAGAATCCCCCAGCAGCCGCGACCGCGGCAAAGAGGCGAAAACGCCCCGAAGCGCCGCCCCTCCACGCCCAGCCCAGGCCAATCTAGGAGGCACGCGGGAACGCCTCCCGTCCATCAATGCACGCCGCCCAGCCATTCGCCCTCTCCTGTCCCTCCCCCCTTCCTTTCGGCCAATAGCAGGTGAGTGCTAGACCGCTCCGGCCCGGCATTGCCTAATCGGGAGCGAACCCTCCTCTTTCCGGTTTCCTGGCGGGGCGGGGCACTCTGTCGCCAGGCGACGGGGAGGCGCTTGTCCCCGGATGTGGCCTGGCCACGGCTTGGCCGGCTCCCAAAATGGCGTCGTCGTAGTCCTCGTCCTGCTGCTGCTCGTGAACCGCACCGGGACCGGCCTGCGCGGTGGCGGCGGCGGCGGCGGCAGAAGCTGTTAAAGACCGACCGGCGGCGCCACCACCGAGGGGGAGGCGGGCTAGCAGACGGGTGAGCGAGCGCAGCGGGTAGTGGCCGGGGGTCCTTCTGTGGGGCAGCCCCTGGCCTGAGGGGCCTCCCCGAGTCTGGGCCGAAGCGGGAGCCCCTTTGGGAGGGCGGAGGGCCTCTTTCGCCGGCCCCCTCGCCTTTGGCCTGCGTCGAAGATCAGGGGGTGGATGGGGGACCACGTAGAGATGCCCCAGCGGTGCAAACCGCCCGGGAAGTCTCGCCTGCGTTATTATCCTTGGTGGGGCTTTGGGGGTGAAGCCTCAAGGGAGTTTGGGAGAATTTGGGGCTGTGGGAGAAGCTGCTTTGTGGTACAGGTGGCCCTCAGCGTACAGCCATTCGTTTAATGACCGTTGTAAGTTACAACGGCCCTGACAAAAGTGACTTGTGACCGTCTTTCACAGCCTCCATTCATGGTCCCTTAATCAAAATTCAGACACTTGGTCACTGACCCATACTTACGACGGTTGTGGCGTCTCAGGGTCAGGTGATCCCCTTTTGCAAACTTCTGACAAGCAAACTTGATGGAGGAGAACAGATTCACTTAACCGTTTGGAAAGGAAGGTCATAAAATGGGGCAAAATTCACTTAGCAGCAGAAATTTTGGGCTCAGTTGTGGTCGTATGTCAAGGACTACCTCTATATTGTCTTTAACCAGGTGTGGCATGTCTGGAGGAGATCAGAGCAGGTGGTTGCGCCTTTTTTCTCAGGTGGATTCCTGTGGAGCCAGCTTTTCTCAGCCGCGAGCCTCAGGCGGGTTTTGGTTTAATTGCTCTCTAGGCCTTGAGCAAAGGCGGTTGGTTAAAACCCCCAAAGTTTCCACTTTCTTGTGACATTTCTGCCATTTTCTTTTTCTTTTTTTTTTGTTCCCTTATTTTTTTATAACAAATTAACAGTTTGTAAACTGCCCAGAGTTACTGGGAGTAAGATGGCATACAATATAAATTTACATTATTTAAATTTAAATAATTACAGTTGCAGGAATTGGGTATGTCCAGTCTGATGAAGAGAAGGACTAGGGGTGACATGAGAGCAGTCTTCCAATATTTGAGGGGCTGCCCCAAAGAAAGGGGGAGGGGTGTGTCAACTTATTTTCCAAAGCATCCGAAAGCAGAACAAGAAGCAACCTGGAATTAAGGAGAAATTTCCTGACAGAACAATTAACGGCTTGCCTGCAGAAGTTATGGGTGATCCAACACCGGAGGCTTTTAAGAAGAGACTGGACAGCCATTTGTCTGGGCTCCTGCTTGAGCAGGGGGTTGGACTAGAAGACCTCCAAGGTCCCTTCCAACTCTGTTATTCTGTATTCCTATTTTCACAGGTGGATAAGGGGCTTAGTCCAATCCCTTTTATTTGCGGAGGGGGCTGTTCCTAGGTGAGCTAAGCCTGCTTTTACAAAATGCCCCCCCACCCCACCCCTTTGACCAGTTTAGCTTCTCTCTGTCCTAAGCATACTGACAAGATCATTAGTCTGTAAGCCTCTTTCAAAAATTTACTTTTGGCTCACAGGTTTGAAATGAATCTCTCCATCATATTTATAAACTGCAAACTCTGTTTTCTGATTGTAAAGAAAATAGCACTATTAATGCCTGCCAGATAATCCTGCCTGTCGGTAGATCAGAGAAATTTAAGGGCTGGATAAGCTTAACTTCTACACTTTAAAAGCCTCTGTGTCCAAAAGAACCTAAAGTGGTTTATGGAATGTAGCTAGCTGGTACTGTATGTTGTCTTGCATAAAAGATTTTATTCCAGAAAAAGACATGTCTGGATGTTTAAAAGCCTATTTTACAATATTTTGTGGAAAGCTATACTTTATATTTAAATGCTTCTAGATTTTGTGACTCTTTATAAATGTAATTTGAGAATACTTTGGCAGGAAAAAGTCTTGGAAGAAAAAGATTAGATTTAGAACATGAATGGTGGAGGTGATTTGTTTCAGGATGAGTCCAGAGTAAGATTTTGGCACCTGTAAATAGGACACGCTCTACTGCTTACCGTACATTGGTGTAGGCTCCATATATTGGTGTGGTATATTAGCGTAGGCTCACTTTCATAGTTAAGGGTCATTTGTCTGCTTGAGATTATGAGTTGCAACTTCCATATTTGCTAATAAGGAATTTCAGGATATCTTGGTCTTACACCAATGCTTGGTTGAGAAATTGTTCTGAATTTTATGCTCCAAAAGGCCAATGCCATTTTATTTCTTTTATTTATTTATTTATTTATATATATGTGTGTGTGTGTGTGTGTGTGTGTGTGTGTGTGTGTGTATACACACACACACATACACACATACATACACACACACATATACATACATACATACATACATATATATATATATACACACACATACATACACACACACACACACACACAGTGAGTCAAACATTTGTTTATAAAGATCGGTATAAAGACAAGTTTTGTCTTGTTAGAAGGTTATTGTTTCTCAGCTCTTTCGTCGTCTGGTTTATCCCTTGAACATGTCGACAGAAACACCTTGAATGCAGAGGTTTGCAGTCCCAGGATAATCAATCATACTGATAGCTTCAGAAGCCCTTCAAAATGTTTCAAAAAATGAGCAGTCTAGCTACAAACTGGTCTCTGGTTGTTGGCCTTATTTTGATGAGATGATTCATGTTGAATCCCATTGCAAACTTGGAATCACTTCAAAAGAAACCAGGATCTCTCTTCAAGAAAACAAGGAAAAGAAAGCTGAGAGAAGCAGAAGATTAAACAGTTACTATATTTGGAAAGTTTCGAGAGGAGATAGGAGGTACTGTTGCCAGCTTGTGCTTACTGCATTTATATAGGGAAGAACACTCACTTGGCGCTTTGTTTATTTCTCTCAGAACGGAGAGTTCTTTCCTGTTAAAAGTTAGAAACATATTGCTTCATTTTTTTACAAAAGTTAGAACACTTGGCCCAGTGGTCAAACTTGTTTCAAAGGAGACTTTTTCAGAAATCTTGGGGTTCAGAAGATTTAGGGAGCCTGGTGGGGAAGGGTCCCAACTTGACAGGATGAAAAAGTCAATGCAGGACGTTCTGAAAGTCAACAAGGATATACTTTGCTTTTGCTAATGAAAATATTAATTAATCCACGCTGTGCCCTAAAAAATGCTCAAGTTCTGATAGCAGAACAAACCTGCTAGTTGCCTAAATATGTTCTTTGAGGCTTGAATTCATGGATGAGGATTTGAAAACCACCCTGGAGCATAATTCAATGGCAAGACAGACCTACCTATATGGGGTATGTCAAATACTAAGTTTTGTCTTGGATTAGAAAACATTTTTTCCGCTAAAGTATTTTCTAAATGCCTTTGTTCTGCATTTCTCTACAAAGACTGGAAATTGTTTTTACAAACCTTCTAGGAACGGATCCTTGCTCTTTATCCTAATAACCAAGTCCCTTCCCCATTTAGGGCCAGCCAGAAGATGGCAAGCAGGAGCTTTCTTGCTGCCTTATTCCAAATCCCGGGAAGAACCTGATTATGTAAGGCAGTCAGAGCCATCCTCTCTGGATGGCGGAGGGTGATAGGGAGGCTCTTTCAGTAAATGAAAAGGGGGTAAGCCTGCTTAGGTGCATGCAGCTATCTGGGCCCTAAATAAAGTTGAATATTAATACCAAAAAAAATTCTATTCTGGTAATTCTTAGTTTTCTATTCCAGTGTTCCTCAACCACTGGCAGTGTGGAGATGTGTAGACTTCAACTCCCAGAATTCCCCAGCCAGCATAGTTGAAGTCTGCACCTTTTCAAACTGCCAAGGTTGTGAAACACAG